GCCTTGAGTTATTTATAAAAATAATAAAGGTGGGATAAAAACATCTAAAAAAAAGAGAAAAAAACAGTCCCCAAAGTAGCAAGGATCTGAGCCTTAAAGTTCAAAAAGCTTCAAAAAGTTGAGCCCTAAAGCTCAAAAAAATTCAAAAGCAATAAGCAAAGCCTTAAATTGGGCTATGACATGGAGGTTTTGTGGATATATAGTTTAATCCTCATCTAATCCAATGCATAAATCAGTTTAAGCAATTTTTGAAAAGTCCAGAATGGCTATTGGTATAAAGGACTTTGAAGTTAGAAAAAAAACATCAGAAACTCTATGCATCTCAGCCAACATCAATATTGCGAAATCGTGGAAATCACACTTTCCCGTCCCTGAAATCTTCTCCTTGTTTTTTTAGAATGGAAAGGCCATAAATTCAGCCAACACATCGTATTTGGTAGATTGCAACTCTATCTTGGGGGGGAGAACCTGCCTGACTTTGCATATATATACACACTTTGTACCCTGCTAGATCAGATTAAATGTCGAACTCAGTCCTCCCCAAACTGCACTCTACAGCTGTGTTGGATTACAACTCCCATCTTCCACGGTCAGGCCAAGCAGAGATCAGCTAAATAAATAAATAAACAAACAAACAAATAAATAAATAAATATCTGACACCCTGTCGGAACACAGTCCAACCACATCCAAAATTAACAAATCAAAACTACGCAAAAGCAACAAGCTTAGTATGCCCCATGACATATTTCTCGCCGTTACAAATCACAGCCAAATAGCGATAAAATCCTACACAAATACCTGAGAACTGCTGCCGTCTAATTTTGTGATAAAACAGCCCTACCATTGCACCTTACTAACCACCATTCTCTTTCCGCCGGGCAACTGGCTGACACCAGTCCATCTGCCTTGTTAAGTGAATTTTCAGTTCTTTCTTAAATGCACCCAATGACATGTTGAGGTGAAGTGGGGGAAGAGACTTCCCTAATCAGGGCCAAGGGAGTAATAACAGAAGTGCTGGAAAAATGTAATGGAAGGTCAGACAGAGAGGCTATGTCGTGAGGGCATCTAACCAGGGGTTTTGGCAAATTGCTGACTGGCTAGCAAAAATATGGAGCTTGTCCCTCAAATCCACCTCAGGGTCAAAGGGTTGCAAGGGGCACCAATTTTTAAAAAGGGATTTAGGGAAGATTTTGGAAATGCTAGTCAGAAATGGTAGCTTGAAATGGTAATGAAAGGAACAAAAAGTCTAAGCCCTAGAGGGAAAAAAACCTTTAAAAACTGGCTAAAAAGTCCTTTTTATATATATTGTTTTATTAAGAATTTTGATTATAATAATAAAATCTAATACAAACTAAACATAAAGAGAAGAGAAAGAAAGGATAAAAAGGGCAAGGAAAAGAAAGAGGGAAGAAAGAAAAAAGTAAGAATAAAGAAAGCGAAAAGAAATATATAAAGAAGTGACTTCCAACCTTCATCACAACAAGTATAAACAAATTTAGTGACTCTTTACCCCCTCTAAGGTTACCAACATTTATCTCTTCATCCTATATCCCATCCCTGATCTACAGACATAAAGCAATATCTTTTCAATTCTGGTGTCAGCAGAAAGTCCATAAAGGGTTGCCAGAAGTAACAACATATCTTGTTTTAA